CGCGCCGCCGGTTCTGGCCCACCGTGCCTCGGCGCGACGGGCTTGACCACTTCCCGGTCTCCGGGCGTCAGCGTTCCGAGCCCCTTCCGAGGCTCCCGCTCCGCGGAGCGGAGCGACACGTCTTCCGCCTGCAAGGCGTGGCGTGTCGCTGGGGCCGCCGCCGCGACGCGGTTCGCCAAAGATCCCGACCGCAACCAGGAAATGGAGTTCCAAGCCGTACCTTCACTGTCCAAGGGAGGGGACGTCGTCTGGCTGTGGGTTTCCTATGATTCGGATATGGGAAGCCCATGGCCGGACGACTGCCAGGGATTCTACTGGGACCTCTACCCCCCCCCCCCCAGGGGCCTCCCCGTGGTTTCCCGAAATTCGGAAGTCGAGTTCTGGGAAACCTGGAATCATTTAAAAAACTTTGATTTTTGGCGGTGGTTCCAGGATTCCCATAGTTCGAATTCCGAACTTCGGGAGACCCGGGGGGAGAGGCCGCTGAGGGGGTCTGATGACGAGAATCCTGGAGTCTCAACGACGTTTTGTGGTGAACCCCCAGGCTTCCCATGACTCCACACCATGGGAAACTTGGAATCACTACGACAAATATGTTCTTTCTAAAACATAGTGACTCGATATTCCCAATCATTCCGACTTGTAGGAGAAAACTGGAATCACAACAAAACAGAGAGGGTTTACGTAGTGTTTCCATGTTTCCCGTAATTTGACCCCCTCAATAAGCAATCTCGCAGAATGCAGAAGATTTCCCGTTATTCGAATCCCTAGTTCCGGGAAAACCAGGGGGAGAGGCCGTTGGGGGGTCGAATTCTTCGAAACTTGGAATCACTGCGAAAGCACACACTCCCTTTTGAGGTGATTCCAGGATTTCCATCATCTAGAATTATGGAACCGTGGAATCACCATATTTCTGGATGATCGGAACCTGGGAACCCTTCTTCTTTTCATATTCCTAAAAGAGGATGGGTTTTCGTAGTCGTACCATGTTTCTCGTCATTCGACCCCCCCAGGGGCATCACACCCCTGGATCCCCGAAATCGGATTTCGAATGACGGGAAACCTTCCACATGCTGGATAATTGGCGCTTCTCCGTTTCCACAAATGAGGGGTCAGAATTCCGGGATTCCTGGAGTCACCACGAAAACAAATTGTTTGGTAGTGATTACAGGCTTCTCGTTGGAAACGCGGAATCATTGTAACGAAGTGCGGTTTTTCGTAATGATGCCAGGTTTCCCGTAAGTCGACTCCCCCCCCCCCAACGGCCTCTCCCCCTTCTGCTTTCCAGAAATTCGGAATGAGAATTTCGGGCAACTCTCCGCATTCTGCGAAATTGCCGTTCACCATTTCCCCAAATGACGGGTTCGACTGACGGGAAACTTGGGAACACAAAAGGAAGCACTTCCTTTTGCAGTTGTCATTCCAGGTTCTCCACCTTTCAGCATTATGGGAAACCTGGAACTACTAGGAAAAAGTGTGGGTTGTCGTCGTGCTTCCAGGTCCCCCGTAAGTCGACACCGTAGCGTCATCTCCCCCCTGGTCTCCAGAAGTTCGAAATGGTATTACGGGAAACGTTCCGCAGTCTGGGAAATTGCCACTCTCCGTTCGTCAAATGAGGGGTTCGAATGGCGGGAAACATGGCCCCTCTACGAAGATCTACTTGTGTGTGGTGTGATTCCAGGTTTCCAGCAAGTCAGGAGCGTGGAAAACCTAAACTCATTATCGTAGTGATACCAGGCGTTCCGTCTCCCCCTTTGGTTTCCCGAAATCCGGAATCGGGATTACGGGAAACATTTTGAATTCTAGGAAATTGCCACTCCCCGTTTCCCCGAATGAGAGGTTCTGGTTACAATGACGGGAAGCCTCGAATCATTGCGATTCTTTTTATTGTTTTGATTCCAGGTTTCCCATTATTCCGAATTATGGGAAACCTGGAATCACCGCACACAAAAACGTGTTTCCGCAGTGATTCCAGGTTTTCCATACCTCGACCCCCCCAGCAGCTTCTCCCCTTTGGTTTCAACCAATTCGGAATTCGAATAAGCCTTTTGGATTCTGGGAAACTGCCTTCCCCCGCTTCCCCAAATGAGGCGTTCGAATTTCGGGGAATCTGGAATCACCACGAAAAAAACATTGCTTGCTGTGTGATTCCAGGTTTCCCATAAGTCGAGAATTGGAGTCACTAAAGAAAGGTGGGTTTTCGTAGTGGTTCCAGGGTTCCCGTAGTTCGACCTCCCAGCTGTTTCTCCCCCTTAGACGTCCCGATATTCGGAATCCGAATTACGGGAAACCTTCCGAATTCTGGAAACTGCCATTCTCCGTTTCCCAATTTAGGGGTTCGAGTGAACATCATGGGAAACGTTGAACGATTACGCAAAATGAGGGCGTTTCGACATGACCCCTGGCTTCCCATACTTGGAATTCAGACTTTCGGGAAGGCTCCTCGGGGGTGCCCTGACGGGCGGAACTGACCACGCCCCGGGGCCCCAGTTTCCCAGAATTCGCCTTCTCCGAATTGCTGTATTATAGGAAACGCATGGCCCGACGGCAGCCCCAAGGGGATAAGGGTTGTTTCGAGTGGATGCTAAGATGGGTAACGCTTGGCGTAAATTACAGCCTCCGGAAGATTTTCTCCCAACGCCGCCACGCCCATGCCGATCCTCAGCGATATGGGAATGTCCCCACGCATGCCGCCCCATTTTTCTAGCGTTCCTGAAGACAACTGGCAATCCTGCTCCGCTGCTGGCTCAATTGTTCTTGGACGGATGGGGGGAGAGGGGCCCGCTGACTCGCTCTGGTTCTGCTGTTTGAAGGTTGGGGGAGGAAGAGGGGGTTACGGACTCGCTCGACACTTCGCCTTCCTGCGCGCACGAGATTGATTCTGGGATGGGCACCGCTGCATTGTCGCGGATAGCGTTGCCCTGGGCGGAGGGAGCAATACTGAGTTCGTGAGACGGACTCGGGCCCGTCGTCTGCAAAGGGCAATTCATCGTATGACCGCCGATAAAGAAGTGGGCGAGGATGAGAAGAGGGTGAACGTGGGGCAGGAGGAGGATGAGGAGGAGGGGGAGGACGAGCAAGAGGAGAAGGAACGGGAGGAGGAGGACGTAAAGTGTGAACCGCAAAGTGAGACCAGCTAGAAGCACCACCGCAAAGTTTGAAGACGGCTGGAGCGAAACGGTGCAGAACCGTGCCAAACCAGGGCCCAACCAAGCAACTGATAAGAACGTCTCAAGCGAAATCGGGCCCAAACCAGGCTACACCAGGACCAAACCAAGCAAATTCTGAGGACGTCTCAGGCTGGCCCAACCCAGGCCAAACCAAGGGCCAAAGCCGGGAAAAATACGAGGTCGTCTCAGGCGAAGCCGGGCCCATACCCGGCTTAAACCAGGGGCCAAACCATGCAAATCTGAGGATGTCTCAGGCGGGGAGCGCGGCCAAACCAAGCCAAACCAGGGGCTAAACCAGGCAGACTTTGATTACGTTTCAAGCAGAAACGCCCAAACCAGGCTCCATATACTCTCCTTCAGACATTTCCAGTATAAAAGGAGTGGATGACCTGAAGGATTTCCACCGAAGGCGGAAACCCGTTTAGAAGTTCATGGGGGGCGTTTGGACCGCGCACCGCGCGCTCGCTGATGCGACTGGGGTTAGGCGCGGAAGCCTTGATGTGTTTAATTGGATGTTGTTCGGGCCTTGGTGTGGCGGTAGGAGGTATATTTCCGAACCTGTAGATTAACATGTTTGTTACAAGTGGCCCAGGTGGCTTGCGTGGGTTCGATAACTCCGCTAGGTAGCCGCAGCCCACTTCGTCCAGATCACGCATCCCCACCAGCCCATGCAGAAATGCTGCCCAGGGGAATTGAGGTGATCAGGGAAGTGGGGGTATATGCAGAAGAACAAAGAGCGGGGGAAGCCGTCATATACCCCAAGAGTGTGAGGATGCAGGAAAATCGTCATCGTCGGAGGAAGAGGAGGAAGAGGAGGAGGAGGAGGAGGAGGAAGAGGAGGAGGAGGAGGAGGAGGTGGAGTAGGGCGAGGACGAGAAGGACGAAAAGGAGGAGAAAGATGAGAAGGAGGGAGAGTTGGGTACCTCGGGGATCCTCTTGAGGCTTTGTATGGGGTCTCTTGGGAGCCTCTTGGAGTCCTCTTGGGGCCATCTGGACGCCTCTTGGGGCCCTCCTGGGGCTCTTTTGGGAGCTTCAGGGGCGCTCTTGCGGCCATCTTCGAGGACATCGATCAAACAAGAGGGGAGCTTCAATTACTCTCCCTCCTCGGAAGCACCAAACATCGCATCCTGGACCCCTCTTGGAGCGCTCTTGGGGTGCTCTGCGGCGCTCTGGGGGCCGTCTTGGCGATCTCTTGGGCCTTTCCTGGGATTCTCTTGGGCCATCTTGGAGCCATCTTGAGGCCTCAGACGGCGATCGGACGCGAAAAGACGAGAAAGCAAACATGATTAATTTTCCTGACGTTTTGAAGGATTCGGGCTTCTTTGGGGCCTCCTTGGAGGTCTCAGACGCCTCGTGGAGCCGTCTTGGAACGTTTTGGGGGCCTCTTGGAGCATCTTGGGAGCCATCTTGAGGCATATTGCGCTAGCTTGAGCCATCTCGAAACTCATCTTGAACTCTCAGGGGCCCTTTGGGGGCCGTCTTGGGCCATCTTGGACGCTCCAACGCCTCGCGGCCCTCGCGGCCCCCCCACCCGTCCAGGTCCACGGGAGGGGGTAGGGGTAAGACCATCTGCGAAGGGGAAGAAGGGGGTTGGAAGAGGAGCCTCCCTAGACCACCTACGGCCAGAGGACTGGTGGGATTTCTTCCTTATCCAATGCCCGCGACGTAGGCCACATCTAAGCCACCTTGGCATCCACGCAGACGAACCTCCGCATCCTCTTAGCACCCCCCGCGGTCATGCCAGTAGGGCCCTGCCCATCCGGGCTCCATCCTTGAACCGCCGAGCGTAGAGGACCCGCCTGCGCCCCCGGGGGCGGCGCTGGGGCCGCCATGGCGCGGCGCCGGCCGCGGCTTCCCCGCGTGTCCTTGCTGGCGGCCGCCGTGTCGTCCGGGCTGGGGCCGGCCGCGCTGGCCGCCGGCTCTGGCGATGCGCAGGCTTCCCGGCCTGCATCCGCCTTCTCCATCCTCTTTAGGAGGAAGTGGACGAGGGTAGGAGGAGGGGAACGACAAGACAGGACGAGGCCAGAGCCCTCGCGAGCCCTAGATCAGCGACCGAAGCCCGGGGGAGACTGCACCTCCTGGAGGTTAGAAGGAGCTGGTATCTATCAGATGGCTTTGCGCTGCGCGTGATGCGCGCCTACCAGCGGCCTCGCGGGGGGACACCACCGGCTTGAAGAGGGAGGAGGAGGGGCCCGGGACTCCGCCCTCGAGAAGCACCGGCCCCCTTCTGAAGTCCTCGTGGCTGCACCGGTGCAAGCCAGCCTGGTTCCCTGCTATAGCTGGGCCGTCTCGCCTCCGTTGTTGGCCTGTTTGCGTCGAGAGGCGTCCGAAGGGCCTTTGAGCAGGCGGCTTTCTTCGCTCGTCTTGCCGCACGAGCGCGGCAGCGGCGGCGAGGCCTCGCGAGCGTGACGTGGTTGGCAGGCATCCGCCGTGGACCCTGTCTAACCCAAAAAAAAGTAGGAGGACGCTTAGTCCTCCTCCCCCTCGGCAGTTGCACCCCCTTTCGCAGGACAAAAACGCAGTCCACGGGTGCCCGAAAGGTTTTTGTTGCGTGTGTGCTGGGCAAGTTCTCCCCATTAAACGAAACATGGCAGCAGCTTCTCCGGGTGCCCTTCCTGCAGGCGCGGGAGCCTATGTTGCGGAGGCTTGAGCTGACGAAGGACGCCCTCGTCAGCCAGAAGGCGAAATTCTTCACGGGCGAGTTCAGCCATGCGAACTACACGTTCAGCCTCAGGCGCGACTCGGTGGAGAGGAAGGGCAAGGGCGAGGTGTGGCTCCTGTTCGACAAAAGTAAGGGGCCGCGGTTTCGCATACGGGGCGAGGCGGAGTCACAGCGCTTTGGCCACGGCGAGATCACTCTCGTAGTGGACACGGACCAGAAGATGCTGTATGCCCATTTCAAGCTCGACAGGCTTCATGAGGAGGAGGGTGAGGAGGAAGTTGCGGAGAATGTCTATGAGGCAGGACGTGGAGGACGATGAGACTCAGCAGTCGAGGAGGAGTAGGATGAGGAGATGCTGGAGCAGGAGAGGGGATTCCTGCGAGACGGGAGAGGAGTATGGACAGGCTTCACGAGTCCCAGTGCGTCAAGTATCGTTTCCCCGAGCCCGCCAAGAATGCCGAGAGGATGAAGTTCCTGCGGAAGCGGAAAGAGAGGGTGATGGAGTGGAAGAAGCACGAGGAGGCGCTCCTCAGCAAGGAGTCCGACCCGCCACTCCTGGAGGTCAATTGGACGAAGTCCTACTCGCTCAAGTGGAGCCTCGACAAGATCGGCGGCAAGCGAGGGGGGGAAATGAGAAGTAGAAAGCCCTCTCAGAAGGCGGTGGGACTTCTCAGAAGCCCTCGCGCCTTCTGAGAAGTTTCTTTTTGTTTTCGGGGAAGGCTTAGAAACCTTCTCAGAAGGCCCGGGGACTTCGAACCTTCTGAGAGGTCCTTCTCCTTCTCACTTCCCCCCCGCGCTCGCCGCCGACAAGAGCAGCAAGAAGGTCACCGGCTTCGAGATGCGGAGCCCGGACGGCCGTGCTGTGAAGAGCGTCGAGCTCAAGCACGTCCTGCCTGGGCACTCCGCGGCGCCCAAGCTCGACAGAGAGACACTCTTCGTGGCGCCGGCGGACGACTGCAGGACGCCCGGGACTGCCTCAGGGGCAACGTCAGGGCGGGCCACCCCAGTTTTCGACCGTTTTCGAATACTATCGCAAGTTATCGGAGGTTTTCAAGGCCCAGGGGGGTTTCCATCAGCTGCGCCTCGTCGAGAGCGTTCTGGAGGTCTCCGAAACGTCCCCAACGACCGCTGGAGAGCCAAGTTATCACACCCAAGCCGGGGGGGAACGTGAGGGGGGGATGCGCTAAGGGGGGTCGCATCGATCCCCGATCGCAGATTCATCCCCGACAGGGGCCTGCTAGCCCACCCCACCCAAGGTCGTGCGGGCTCGCTGTCTGGGGCCGATCGCCGATCTCTTGGCAGTGTATCGATGTGGTGCAATCCACGCGACGGCGACTGCGGCGACGGGCGGCGCCGCCCGCAAAAGCCGCCACTCGTCCCGAGCGGCGGCGACGGTAACGGCGGCGACGGGCGGCACCGCCCTCAAAAGTCGCCACTCGCCTCAAGCAGCGGCGACGGCGACGGCGACGGCGGCGACGGGCGGCACCGCCCGCAAAAGCCGCCAATCACCCAGAGATGGCTAAGCCAAGTAAGAACCCCTAAGTGCAAGCACTGAGTGGGAAATCATTCCAACCCTGGGGACGTGGTCGACTTTGGGGGGACCAATCACGGCATTGGGGGTCTGGGAGAAGGGGTCCCCAGACGCGCGTCCATGCACCAATCCCCTTTTCAGGCAGATCCTCTGGCTGGCGGGTGATTATTATCATCATATTCTCAAGACGTCGCGCTGTTCTGTGCCGCAATCACCAGATCCAACGCTCCAGGCTATTATTCTGGGGGAGATCTTCCATCCCTGGTGGCTCTGGGGCTCGAAAACGGCCGATTGCTTTGCTCTTCAAGCGTGTTTCTGCAGCGTGGTAACTTGTTACTTATTTACCGCGTCATGTTGGCGATGGTAACTATGATGAGTCGGAGAAGCGTAGGACTCGAGTAGGAAGGAACTCGGGTTCGCCGACGTCTTTTGACGAGCGCGGCCTGGATTTTGACGGTCCAGTTTTCGTGGGATGTCTGCAGCGGGAGATCGCGTCAAATTTCAGATCGGGCCTCGTCATTTTCATGGATGGCCCCGTCAGGTCAACCCGAGTCCCCCCAACCCGAGTCTTACGTCTGCCCGAATGAAGCCAATGATGGTGACAACGATGGTGTCGATGATTCCGCTGAAAGTGATAACGACAACGAGGACGATGACGATGACGATGACAACGATACGATAACTATAGAAACAGACCGCCCCTCTCTTTCGCACTCTTTTGCTCATTCCTCTCTGTATGTATATCTCGCCTCTCTATCGCTCATGATGTACTACGTTTGACATCTCGCAGCTGTCTGTTTTGCGAACTTGAGTTTTTCTGTGGGTTCCTCGTTCCTTCTATTCCGCCGCCAAATGGGAAGGGGTAGTGGTTGCTCTCTGATTCTCTCTCTTTCTCTCTCTCGCTCGCTCGTTCGCTCGCATTCTGCATTCGCACATGGATGGGGGAAATGGTACAGGAAGTGGTTGCGATCTCTTTGTTTTGTTGCTTCTCTTTCTCTCTCTCTCTTTCCTTCTCTGTCTGCCTCTGTCTCCCTCTCTCTCTCTATCTTTGTTTTGTTCTCTCTCTCTCTCTCTTGCTCTCTCTCTCTCTCTCTCTCTCTCTCTTTATTTCTATATATATACCTCTCTCTCTTCTTATCTCTCTCCCTCTATCTCTCTCTCCCTTTCTTTCTCTCGCCCGCTCTCTCTCTCGCTCTCTCTCTCTCTCCCTCTGTTTCTTTAGATGTATATCTCTCTCTCTCTTTCTTGTTGTTGTCTTCCTCCCCGTCTCTATTTTTGTTATCTCTGTCTCTCTGTCCCTTTCTCTCTCTCTCTCTGTCTTTTTCTATCTCTCTCTCTGTCTGTCTGCTTGGGCTTCGCTTTTTCTTTCCTTGGTATGTTTATCTGTCGTTCCTCTCGCTATCTCTCTTTGTTCCCCCCTCTCTCTCTGCCTCGGTCTCTTTTTCTGTCTCTGTTTGTGTTCCCTCTCTCTCTCTCCATGTCTTTCTTTGATTGTTTCTCTCTCGCTCTCTCGTATGCTCCCCGCTCCTTACTTATATATTCACGCTCATGCCAACGTAGCAATCTAGTGATCTGCACGTATAGGAACCCATAGTATATATGTGTGTATACATATATATATATATACACGAGTGCCATCCGAGCGGTCATCTATATGGATTAACCCTCATATCTGTCCATCCACACGTTTATCGAACCACCGGTCGATCTGCCCACCTGTTTCCATATACACGAAATTACTTATATAGCCACCTACGGTTCTTCTGCACACAAACATCTCATATGCATAATTAGTTACCAGCCACTACATCAATCCACCAATATGATCTTATTTCAAAGAGTTAGTTATTTCATTCGTCAGCCGGCCGTGCGTATGTTCATAGCTGCATTTATTCTTGATAGTGTCTTAATATTTGTAGTATTCGATCCGTCAGCCCTCCGTCCGCCTCCTCCTATATACGCATATGTCGTTGTAATCATACACTTATATGCATGTATACATATGTATGTATATATATACACCTATATATATACACACATATATCGGTCGACCCATCCGTCCATCGATCAATCCGTCCACTTCTGTATCTCCAGGTCGGCCATAGCTTCCCAAATCTACATGGATCGATCGACTTCTATATGTGTAGATCCATCCATCTACTGGCCCATCACTTTAACCTATACCGATTACCAGGTGCATATATGTTTACTTATCGGTCCTTGCAACCCGCGCAGTATGAATCAGCGTGTATTTCACCAGCACTCGAAACTCGTAGGCGCGTCGTGCACAACCGAAGTCAATATTTCACATGTCTGTTCGAAGGAGTCGTATTGCAAAGTCGCCCCAACGGGCTTCATTTGTTACCCAAGCCGCCCACAAAAGGCATCATGCCGCTATCTCCTTGACCAGGATGTTATGTGTAACCCGCGCAGTGAGACGCAATAGCAAAATGCGCCACGTAAGGAGTTGTATTGTTGTAAAGCCACGTTAGAAGGTTCATGCTGTAATCCACACAGTCAAACTCAATTGCGAATCGCCGACATACAAAAAGGATCCTGATGCAATTGCGCGCAAGAAGATTGGATTGGCAATGTGCACAACGAGAAATAGCTTGCGAACCGCCCACAATAGAAATTCCGTCGTATAGCAGCATGCAATGATTGTATGTGTCATTCCCGCAAGTAGAATTATTGCAAATCGTCCGCAAACCGATCCCATCATACAGCCGCACAGAATCATCCCAACTGTGGTTCACCATAATGACAATTATTACAGTGCGACCCTACCTAGGAGTTGGATCCCCTAGGGAAAGCAGCATTAGTAGTAACAGTAAAGCTAAGCTAAAGCTAAGCTAAAGCTAAGCTGAAGCTAAGCTAAAACTAAGCTAAGGCTAAGCTAAGGCTAGGCTAACACTAAGTTAAAGCTAAGCTGAAGCTAAGCTAAAGCTAAGCTAAAGCTAACGCTAAGCTAAAGCTAAGCTAAAGCTGAGCTAAAACTAAGCTAAAGCTAAGCTGAATCTAAGCGAACGCTAAGCTACAGCTAAGCTAAGGCTAAGCTGAAGCTAAGCTGAAGCTAAGCTGAAGCTAAGCTGAAGCTAAGCTGACGCTAAGATAAAGCTAAAGCTAAGCTAAAGCTAAGCTAAAGCTAAGCTGAAGATAAGCTGAATATAAACCTAAAACTAAGCTGAAGCTAAGCTAAAGCTAAGCTAATGCTAAGCTAAAGCTAAAGCTAAGCTAAAGCTAAGCTAACACTAAGCTAAAGCTAAGCTAAAGCTAAGCTAAAGCTAAGCTGAAACTAAGCTACAGCTAAGCTAAATATAAGCTAAAGCTAAGCTAACACTAAGCTGAAGCTAAGCTGAAGCTAAGCTAAAGCTAAGCTAAAGCAAGCTAAAGCTAAGCTAAGGCTAAGCTAACACTAAGCTAAAGCTAAGCTAAAGCTAAGCTAAAGCTAAGCTGACGCTAAGATAAAGCTAAAGCTAAGTTAAAGCTAAGCTAAAGCTAAGCTGAAGCTAAGCTGAAGCTAAGCTAAAGCTAAGCTAAAGCTAAGCTAAATCTAAGCTAAAGCTAAGCTAAGGCTAAGCTAAAGCTAAGCTGAAGCTAAGCTGAAGCTAAGCTAAAGCTAAGCTAAAGCTAAGCTGAAGCTAAGCTGAACCTAAGCTTAAGCTAAGCTAAAGCTAAGCTAAAGCTAAGCTGAAGCTAAGCTGAAGCTAAACTAAAGCTAAGCTAAAGCTAAAGCTAAGCTGAAGCTAAGCTAAAGCTAAGCTAAAGCTAAGCTAAAGCTAAGCTAACACTAAGCTGAAGCTAAGCTACAGCTAAGCTAAAGCTAAGCTAAAGCTAAGCTAACACTAAGCTAAAGCTAAGCTAAAGCTAAAGCTAAAGCTAAGCTAAAGCTAAAGCTAAGGCTAAAGCTCCCAGGGGACTGGGGGAACCGCGGGGCGGGGACTGGGGGAACTGCCCGGGGCGATTAGCATTGCCCGGCCCCTTTAGCTAACAGAGTAAGAACCCTTCTAGGCAGAGCCTAGGTAGGGAATAAAACCGTACATCTCCTACAAAGGGAAGTCTTATCGTAAACCCGCGTGGGAAGATTCGATGCGTGATTCCCGCAGTACGCATCAAGTTGTAAAACGCCGGCCAATAAACAAACCGCAAAACCACATAGGGGAAATGTATGTTACATCCACGCAGGAGTTCTAAAGTTGCGAATCGCTCACACACGGAATCCTGTTGTACAGCCAGACAATACGATTCGATTCAGCTTACAATCCGCGCAACGGGGGCTTGTTTGGAATCCGCTTACGAAAGGAATAGTGTAAGGCGGCACAAGAAGATCTTATTTGTAATTCGCGCAGTTGGAATCAGGCTGTAAATCGTGCACAGCAGGATTTCCCTTGAAAGGGGCGTCGGGAAAAAGTGCGTTTGCGAGGAAGCCATAAGAAAACGGAAGACACACAACACACACACACAAAATAAACATGCCCCCCGTCGCAGTTTTTCCTGCCCCCCTCGCCCCCCCACCCTGAACTTACAATGAGCGGCTTGTTTCCTTTTTTTTCTGGAGACCTCTCACACACTTTTTCATTCTTTGTCACAGGACGTCCCGATGTGGGCGATTCGCACATGTATCAGTATTGTGTGGGTTGCAACATTTTTGTCGTGTGGTTTTGTCATCGGATTCCTTGTGCTGGTGGCTTCCACATTGATTCTTGCGCTGGCGATTTTCATTGTGTGGGTTACAAATGGAGTCCTCTTGTCTCGCTTTCTAGTAGGATTCCATTTGTGAGCTAGTTAGACATGGACTTCTAAGGTGTGGAACACATGTCTTACGTGTGGCTGCACAATCGGGCTTCTTCTTGTGGGCGATTTACACATTGATGTTCATTGTGCGGATTGCAAAGAGCATCCTTTCGATTGGCTTTACAACAGCATTTAGCGCGCAAGAAGTTTACTTTTTGACCTCAATTGTATCAATTGGGTGGCATCGCGCTATCGTAGAGGACCTTCGCATGCGATCTGTCTGACCAAACAACACAAAAAACGTAAAACAAATCACGGGGACGTCGGGGAGAACAGTCGCCCCTGGAGGCCAACATTGGTGAAAACCGCAGGGGTTGAAAAACAGCACTGTTCTGGATGCCTGCTTCGATCACCGCGGGGGGTGCGAAGGCCAGGAAGAAATTTGTCGGGTTGAGAAGATGGGGCTGGGAGGAGTCATCACAGCACCAGTGTTTTCGCGTAGGTTGAATATGCTTCTTACACAGTCATACACGCCGCCATTCGCCCCCACAGCTTCCAAAGCCTCTGAAGCTTGAATTGCCTGCCGATTGTGCTGGAAACTACGTTCCCGCTCATCGCACTTAGGCGTCCCTCCTTCATCGTCGCAGCACGGCACTCGCCGCTGCCCCGCAACCTCCCAAAGCCCGCACGATCATTAGGAACCATTCGCGAGTGAATTCCGGAACACGGATCGCCATTCGGAGCCCGATGCGGAATTCACGATCGATTGGGCGTTTGTTGGACCCCCCCGGCATTGCGCATGCCTTTGGTCCATCCCCAGGGGGGCGACGGAATGAGCTATGGGTGCGTGTTGTCGGATGGGGGTCCCCGCTCGAACGGGAGCCTCCCCAGGGGTCCGACAACCCGCACACATACCCATAGCCAGTCCTTCTCCCTCCGACCGCCCTATGGATATGGGTGTGTGTGTGTTGTTCGTTCGTCATTGGATGGTCCAAAATGGTTCCGATGGGGGCGCATGACACACCTAAGAGGGCCCTTGGACGGCCCCCCGAAGGCCTCGACGGGGCTCCAAGAGAGCCCCATGAGGGCCACGAAGCAGGCTGCAGGTTGCAATCTGCTTATCGGAAAGGTCCCAGCGGCCAAGGATGGCCCTAAGAGGGCCGCGGAGAGGGCTGCAGGTTGCATTCTGTTTCCTGGGAAGTTTGCGCGGTGTTGGATCAGTGGTCCGTGCGCTGCGGCGACAGCACGCTTCCCCTTCGCTAGACGTTGGCGACCGAATGCATCGCCGATTGCATCCGGATGCTATTGATCATGCTCTGCGTCCTCCCAGCCTCCTCCTCCGAACGCGACAGTTGCTCCTCTCATAAGGAGGTAGGGCGTGACAATAGATGCCAAGTTAGCTTCGATCTGGCGTAGCCTAGCTTGTTGTTGGTAGGGGGCTTGGTATCTCCGCCAGTGGGCAGAGCCCACTCGGTCCGGACTTTTACCTCCTGTTCGGGGCGCTCGTAGACCACTTGTGAGGCATCTCAGGCCATACGGAGGCCACCTTAGCATCCAATTCCAACGTGGCTCCCCAGTCCCTGTTCAAGCCCCGCGTTGCTCCAAGTGGGGGCAACCGCAGGGACAGGAACAGGAGTGCCTGGGCCCTCCGAGGCTGGACGAGTCCATCCCTGACGCGCAGCGCCTGGCGGAGGTTGAGCTGCTGCCGCCCCACCAGAAGTCCTCCGCCCTGAACGACCTGCTCTTGGCGCTCCAGGACAGCCTGGGAACAGGTGGGGGTCGGGAACGCCCATAAGGGGCGTGAGTTCACGACGGCTGCTGCTTGCGACTCTCGGGCTCTCGTGGCCTGCGCTGGGCCCGGGCACGGTGAAAGAACGATGCGGTACGAAACGCAGGTCCTGGGGAATGAGTTGAGACCTGCAGATGTCCACGTCGTGATCAGTTCATGACGTTGGGGGTTTGGGTTGGCGGCGTCCACAGGGTGTAAGGAGTGGGGGGAGGGGGTGCATCGGCCCCCACTCGCCGATCCAACCGCTCCTTCATCTGCCATTCGGGCCCAGTGGCCCACCAGCCCCAGAACGTGCGGATGCGCCGTCGTCGCCGATCTTCTGGCGATGTATCGTCGATTCGGGCTCGATGCTTCCTCCCCTGAGCCAGTTCCCCATATCGTTGCCCCTCACAGGCTCCCACAGCCTTGCGGAACTCAGGGCAGAGGCGCTGCATCGCTCCTCGGCGCCTGGAGGCCGATCTCGGGCCCTGGGGCCGACACGGGACGGGCCGATCGGGGCGGGAAGGGGTCCGGCCCCAGGGGCAGGATCGCAACTTCTGGGGCCTCGATATTGAACTGTCCTGGCGAAGGGCCCAACCGTATGCAGTTGTGAGTACGGTCGTTTCGGGTATGGCCTTCGGCGGATCGCCTCCTGGGGCCATGAAGCATGCGAAGGGTGTGCCGATGTGGGGCAGGGCCGGCATGTGGGCGCTGCAACTGGGGTTTTACGCGGAACCCACTGTGGGGTCGCGAAGCGTGTGAGGGGTGCACCGCAATGGGGCGGGGCCGCAATTGGGCCTCCGGCGGAGAACCCAATGGGGCCACGAAGCGCTAACTGGGCGGGGGAACCGCACGCGAGAGTAGCCACTGTCGGTGGAGCTCCCTATGGGGCCACGAAGCGCTGTACTGGGCGGGGGAACCGCATGCGAGAGCAGCCACTGGGGCATTCGGTGGAGCCGCCATGAAGCGCTGTACTGGGTGGGGGTCGCGCGTGCGAGAGCAGCCACTGGGACCTTCGGTGGAGTTGACTAAGGGGCCACGAAAAGCTGTACTGGGTGGGGTTCCCGCGTGGGAGAGCAGCCACTGAGACTTTTGGTGGAGCTCCCTACGGGGCCACGAAGCGCTGCACTGGGCGGGGAAGCGCCTGCGAGAGCAGCCACTGAGACCGGCCACGAAGCGCTGTATTGGGTGGGGGTCGCGCCTGCGAGAGCAGCCACCGTGCCTTTGTTGGAGCTCCTTATGGGGCCATGCGGCGCTGTATCGGGTTGGGGTCACGCATGCGAGAGCTGCCACTGGGGCCTTCGGTTGAGCTCCCTATGGAGCCACGAAGCGCTGTACTAGGTAGGGGTCGCGCCTGCGAGAGCAGCCACCGTGCCTTTGTTGGAGTTCCCTATGGGGCCACGCAGCGCTGTACTGGGTGGGGGTTCCGCGTGCGAGAGCAGCCACTAGGGCCTTCAGTGGAGCTGACCAAGGGGCCACGAAGCGCTGTACTTTGTGGGGGACCCGTATGGGGCCTTCGGTGAAGCTCCCTATGGGGCCACGAAGCGCTGTACTAGGTGGGGGTCCCGTGTCCGAGAGCAGCCACTAGGGCCTTCAGTGGAGCTGACTAGGGGGCAACGAAGCGCTGTACTGGGTGTGGGTCGCGCCTGCGAGAGCAGCTTCAGGCCAAGAAACGCTGTGCTGGGTGGGGAGACGCATGCTGATGAGGGCAGGGGCAAGGATAGGGGAGAAGGGAGGAGCGAGGAGGGGGGGAGGGTGGGAGGATGTGAGAGGATCCGCGTCGCTGTTTCCTCAAAGCGAGGACCCAACACCACAGGATGGTTGGGTTGGGGAAAAACACAAGACGTCGGATGTCTGTTGGCGGAGCGGAAGAGGTGGAGGATGAGGAGGAGGAGGAGGAGGGGGAGGCAGAGGAGGAGTAGGCGGACAGTGAGAAGGAGGTGGGTAATAATAACAATAATAATAGCATTGCGAATACGAGCGGCATCAATAATACTGATGTGAAGACGAAGACGAAAAAGAAGACTCACGCCCCGTGCAGCCTATCGTTCATCGAGTATTCAGCCTATCCTTACTCTTGTCGTTGTGTGCTGCCTTTTTATATGAATGATCGGTTGGACCGTGTGGGGATGCACACACAGCGCCATGGTCTGTCTCCCCCGCTTCGCTTCCGTCCTCCTCGCCTCGCGTCTCCCTCCTCTTTCCGCCTCGGCCACGGCAACAAAAACAGCCACACTTTGTTGCCGCCATTTCCGCCAGCATGCGTCAGACGCCAGGGCTGGATCACGGCGCCTCGAGCAGCGTGGCCAGATGCTGCTGCACAAAAACCACCGAGTATTCAGGCAGACGCAACATGTGCTAAGGAGGGGGAGAACAAAAAGAGAAGGAGGAGCAGGAGCTGGACGAGGATGGACCGGAGGATGAGGGAGCCGAGCAGGAGGGCGAACGCTCCAGACTGGCGCACCTGGCGCCAACATGGCGCGCCGCGGAGCCCAGCAGCTGGCCAAGACTGCGAGGCTGCGCCACTCTGCTCGAAGTGTCGGTGGCGAGTGAGGGGCGGAACATTTGAGGGAGCAGGCCTTCCCAGCAGGCGGCGGGACTTCTCTCAGAAGCTCTCGGCGCCTTCTGAGAAGTCTCTCGCGCCTTTGGGGAGAACGCTCCGAAGACTGTTCAGAAGGCCTGGGGACTTCCGAGCCTTCTGCGAAGGCCTACCCCTTCTCGCCCCCCCCCCCCCCCCCAGCGCTCGCCGCCGAAAATGGCGCACGCCTGCAGGCTCCACTCTTCGCTCTTCGCTTGTGCCCTGGCTTCAGTCACCGCGCTGCCCTGCCGACGACGGCGACGCGGAGGGCCCGAGGCTTCGGCACGCGACCGGCTCCGCCGGCCCACCCTCTCCGCCGGGGACTCGCCTCGGCCGACACGCTTCGCCGGCACAGCCCGCTCCGCTGGCGGACCGGTCCGCTGGAGGGTTTCTCCGAAGGGCTCGGGCGAACCGTCCTCCTCCTCCTCCTCCTCCTCCTCCTCCTCCTCCTCCTCCTCCTCCTCCTCCTCCCTCCTCCTCCTCCTCCTCCTTCCTCTCCTCCTCCTCCTCCTCCTCCTCCCTCCTCCTCCTCCTCCTCCTCCTCCTCCTCCTCCTCCTCCTCCTCCTCCTCCTCCCTCCCCCTCCCTCCCCCTCCTCCATCTCCTCCCTCCATCTCCTCCTCCTCCTCCTCCTCCTCCTCCTCCCTCCTCCTCCTCCGACTACTCCTCCTCCTCCTCTCCTCCTCCCTCCTCCTCCTCCTCCTCCTCCTCCTCCTCCTCCTACTCCTCCTCCTTCCTCCTCCTCCTTCCTCCCCTCCCTCCCTCCTCCTTCCTCCCTCCTCCTCCTCCTCCTCCTCCTCCTCCTCCTCCTCCATCTCCTCCTCCCCCTCCCCCTCCTCCATCTCCTCCATCTCCTCCTCCTCCTCTCCTCCCTCCTCCTCCTCCTCCTCCTCCTCCCCTCCTCCTCCTCCACTCTCCTCCTCCTTCCTCCTCCTTCCTCCTCCTCCTCCATCTCCTCCTCCCCCTCCCCCTCCTCCACCTCCTCCTCTCATTTCTCGATTCCCATGCCGACCAGATTCAGTGAACACTAGCGAGCAGCAGAGCTGAGGCCACCCTGTCCAAGCAAGCAAACCTCACCTTCATCGCCTCACACAGAAGATGAGGAACGACAGAAGCAAGAGCACCAGGATGGTAGGGTGAGATGTGAATGGACCGTACTCCTCAGCTCATGCATGCAGTGACACGGTTCGACGATGCTGAAAGTCGGGATGCACACATCTCGCACAGAAACAGTCATCGCAATTTCCGGTGCACAGATAAACATGTCTACGCCGTCTGGCGTCTCAAGGCCACAATCCAGACAGCTCATCGGATACCCGCATTCGTTCGCTTCCCTGGTCAGCTCGTGTCCCTCGGCGCAGTTCCTGCGCACTCCGCCGCTCTCTCCGACGGGCGCTGGTTCTTGGAGGTCTTTGCCAGCACGTGGAGCCGTGCCAGCCGCCGAACGAAAGGACGGGTAGTCGAGGCCGCCCATTGCTCCAGCTCCGCGATGCGCTTGCCTATGTCCCTGCACTCCACGTCTGGCAAGGCAGCGGCGGCCTCCGCATCAGGGCAGTCATCCCCCGTAGGGGCCCGAAATGCGCCAGCGCCTGCAGCATCGGGCGCTGGCGCCCCGACGGCAGGCTGCTCCTCCAGCTTCTGAGCCTTCTGCACCGGGTACTTCACGAAGCAGGTCGTGCCGATGGGCACGGAGGAGAAAGCCAGCGAGCCGCATGTGCATCGGAGGCCTGTGGGGCCTGGGCATCCCATGAGCGGAAACCAGCGACCTGCCCCAGGAAGGACCTCGGCAGCATCACGACGAAGAACATGGCCGTGTGCAGCTGCCACCGTGCCGTCGTCGAACTGCTCCTCGCATAGCCCCTTGTAGGCGCTATCCGCGACGACGGGCGGCACGCAGGGGGCGAACACCTCCGCCTCGGGGTTCAGCTGGAAATGCGGATGCCCAGCACACAGACGACGGACCTCCAGACGATCAGATTTCTGGAGCGAGCGAAGAGCAGCAGGGGACGCGGTGGACACCTTACAGCCCTTCGCGTCCGCGTGGAGGGCGACATTCCGGCGTAGTACTGTTTCACGACCAAGTGTGATACCGTGGGGGAGGGCCCGAAGAGCAGGAGTGAGAGCAAGGATGCGGTCCGCAAGTTTGGCATCCCCAATCACGTCCTCCAGGCAGCCGTGCAGAGACTGCAACTCCGCCTGCAGAGCGTACACTTGACCAGATAGGCGGCGGATGACGCCATCAGCTGACAACCTGGGCGCGCGGGCATGCTTCCGAGACTGGGCAGATCGATGCCCTGGGCGCGCATCCGCGCCCTCCCAGGCCATCTCAAGGGTCTCCAACACTCTGGCAGCGCCGCCTCCAGACACCGGCCATGCGCGATGTGAAAATGGCGTGCAGGGGGCTTGACACC